CTATGATCCAAACCTGGATCCAAATCTGAGATAAGGAAAATCTCAGAGTTTCACAACAGTGACTCACAAAGCTCTAACAAGAGCAAAGTGAAGGGCTGCATAATTCGATGTAGAAAATATCACCAGACATGATCTTGTACAGACGATCTCTCTGACCAACATGCATGAGTGTGTGCAAAAGGAGTGTCCTCAGCAGTGTACTTCAGTGCTACCTAGCATAAACAATATGCTGTTTTTATCATGAGTCCAAACTCCGCAACTGTGACAGTGGGCATAACAGTATATGTGTGAATGTGCGGCCATGCTTACGGTAAAAGAAAATTAGTGTCTGTTTGAAACCATAAACCTCTAAAGGGGTAGCTCTAACAGGTACCTACAGCAATGGCTGCATGCTCATACATATACATTCCGCTGCCCATTGGCTCACAGTGGTTTTTACCATATTGAGACAAGACAAGCTCTCCTTGCGTAGCAAGACAAAACAACTACTGTCCGTGTGCAGGGCGCTGCCCTTTGATCCTTAGGGAATAAACTGGTCATACACCTCCTACCAAGGAGCATATCCTTGTGGGTGTATCGGCACAGGGGGGGCTTAATGACGAACCTGTTCTACTTTTAGCAGTTCTACTACTACGCCTGCTGCCCTTTAGTGCTTTATGTTCAGACTAGCTCTCCTACTGCTGATGCCTGCTGGCCTTTATCTCTCCTGCTGCTGATGCCTTTGTTGCGCTAGGAGCTTTGGCACACAAAGCGAGCAAAGCGCAGTAAACAAGTCTCCTAGAGTTGCGTGAAGCCCTGAAGCTCGTAACAACAACCACAGACTTCTGCGAAGCCTTCAAGCTCAAAACAACAAGAAGAAGAGCGGCAACAACAACAACAAGAAGAAGAAGAACGAACGACCACCACCACCACCAGCACCACTACCACAACCACCAGCACCACAACCACAACCACCAGCACCAGCACCAGCACCAGCACCAGCACCAGCACCAGCACCAGCACCAGCAGCAGCAGCAGCACCACCACCACCACCACAACAAGAACAACAGTACAAAACACACAAAAACAGCCTGATAAAGTGTTCACTTCAAGGTGCTCGAACAGTGTGTTGCGAAAATGCCACGCCAGCCAATGTTTTCTGCACATTGGTCTTCAACGTCGTGGAAAAACGACACTTTTGACGAGTGGCTCCGCACACTTCCAAACACAAATGCGCAAAAATGCCGAAAAAAAACACTATTTCCCTAAGCACGGTGCAAACCCTCAATCCGCTGTCGCCGCGCGGTCGCGGTTGACGCCGCAACCTTTGTGTTATACACAGCACCCGTAGCTAGGTGACTGAAACCCTTCTTGTAACAAATTTCCGCAAATCCAGTAAACCCTACTTGAAGCCGCAGGGGACTAAGTAAGCGGGTTATAAGTAAGGCTAAAAATCCTTGAACTGACGTTACCGTTACTGTATCTAAAACCCTACATGAAAAAAAAACAACTTACCAATTGCCCTGATCCTTCAAGTAGTTACTCTAAACCCCAAACCCTTAAGACCCAAACTTCGCGTCGTAACCCTACAGAGCCCTGACTGTAACCCTCGTGGTGAACCACATAAACTCCGTACAGTAAATCCTATAGCCCTATAGAACCCCGATCCCATGCATGGACAGCGCGACAGCTTGTGACTTGCGGTTTAGGGTTAGGCTTTCAGGTGTTCGAGCCTTCTGGCGAGTATGGTTTAGGGTTTAGGGCAAACGTTTGGCATTTAGTCTTAAGGGTCTAGTGCTTTGGGTTTAAGGTTTAGGGCTTAGGGTTTCGGGCTGAGGGCCTGGAACAAAGAAAGAGGCTGTACTTTGGGGTGCGGCTCTGTCCCAGCGCCCCAACAATGAAGGCTAGTACACTCACCAACGCTCTAGACCCCTCCAAATACTCCTTCATTGCGATAGAGAGCGCAAAGTTCTGCAAACTGTCGACTCAGATTGAACTAAAAAATTCAACACCCCCACAAAGACCCGACAAAAGACGCACAAAGCCCCGTAAGCGCCCGATGCAGCCCAGACCCCAAACCCAAGGCCCTAAACCCTCAACCTTGAGGCCTTAAGCCGTATAGAACCCCTTAAAGGAGCCCTTAAAGGACCCTAAATCCTAAACCCTAGGCCCTAAACCCTCAACCTTAAACCTGAACCCAGACCCTCAAGCTTGATCCCGAAACCCAAAAACTAATCCGAAATCAACGGAATCCCAAACCCTACAGTGCCCCACAGAAACCCACTCAAGAGCCCAAGGTTCACAAAGAAGGAGAGCTTCGTCTTCCAGGACACCTCATCAGCCTCGCAGTACGGTTGGGACTTCGTAAGTCAAGTTCCTTAAAGAGTTCCTTACGGGGATCTATAAGGGTTTTATAAGGGATGTATGGGACTTAGCAAGTAAGGTTATTAGTACCTTGATTGGGGTTAAGTAATTATAAGTATAGTTACCTTTTTCGCAGCCCTGATTGCTTACGGTTTCCCACGATCTTTTAAGTAAGGCTTGCAAAGCTTAGGGTTCAGGGTTTGGGTTTCAGGGCCTACCTCCTCTACAAGTTTGCCCGTGTGATGTTGATAGATATTTATGGAGTGCCTGAAAGGTTGGGAAAGTCTTTAAGGGCAGAACTCCTCCCACGCCATTCCTGGCGTTATTATGGTCCGAAATAATGTGAGTAGTGTTTTTTGGAGGAGTTGACAATTGTGATACCGAGAAAATTTGCTTTTGTAGTTAGAATACGGTTTTGCAGGGATGCGGGCGAAAGCCTGCCGACAAAGAGCGAAACAAAGGACGACATATCATATGCATCCTCAGAGAACGTGTACATACACATGTAAAGAAGATATCTACAACTTGCTGCAAGTTGCTTCGTCAGGTTTAGGGTTTAGGGTTTAGGGCTTCATGCGAACCCAGAGAGCCCAAAGACCCCTTAACTAAGGAATATAGCTTGAATCATAATATCAACCCCCTCATAGTTTAAGGCATATTTCTTAATCAAGTGGTATTGGGCTCTCTGAATTTCTTGGGTATTTCGGAATCGCTAAACCTTAAACCCGAAACCCCTAGACCCCTAAACCTCATAGATCCCTCAAAGGAACCCTTAAGGATCCCTTCCGGATTCCTTTAAAGGCGTCTCCGGGTAACCCCAAACAGACCGCTGCCTTAAGGTTCCCAGCGTGCTTAGCCGCGGAGGCTGCTTCTTGGAGCATGGTCGCCATGGAAGACCGCTAAAGCCAAAATCGAAGCTGAACGCAACGCAAGGTTTATGGCTTGACATCTTTGTGAACCTTGGGGTCTTTAGTGGGTTTCTGTGGGGCACTATAGGGTTTAGGATTAGGCTTTGGGTTTAGGGGTCAAGCTTGCGTGTTTTGGGTTTGAGGTTGAGGGTTTAGGACCGATGGTTTAGGATTTAGGCTCCTTTAAGAGCTCCTTTAGCTTTAAGGGGTTCTATACGGCTTAAGGCATCAGGTCTGGCGTCGAGATTTCGACGTTTGGGATCGAGGCTATGGTGCTCGACAAAACTCTGAACAAACAAGGAAGGCCCAAAAGCCGAATCCTACGTGATGATATAAATCCTGCATTACCTTAAGGACCCTAAACTATGAGAATTACGGGATGCTCCTTATTGTGGGTCATGCAGGATTTATATCATAAACCGTAGCATTTACTAAGACGGAAGTTGAACCCCAAAACCCCAATCAGGACTGCACCCTTGATGCACTCGTTGAGGAGATGGTTTTCGGGCTTCCGGCTTGGAAGATGTCTTGCAGCCCTGCTTGGCGGTTGTTGATTCCTCCTGAGTTATTTGCGTATGATCATTCCGCCTACTGCTGCTTCAACCCTAAATTCCTGAACCCTTGACCTGGAACCCTCAACCCCAAGGAACAGGTTTGTTTGATGGATTACGGGGCTGCACTAGCCGATGCATTTCTGCGCATGCCCGATTTTTTCCTTCGGGGACTCGATGTCTAGCGCGGTCTCGGCGCAAGCGGTGAAACAAAATATTCTTCGCGAGCTCGGAGAAGTATCGTGGCCTAGCCTCAGGCACCTCTACTCCCTTTCATGGTCAGAAGAACAGCAGATGCGACCGGAACATTGACTAAGCATCCCTAAACCCTAAACCCTAAACCCTAAACCCTAAAGGTGCCCTGTACCCTAGACCCTTTCAGAGCTTGAGGCTGAACCTGCACGCGATAGAGCGGAGCTTTGAAAACCCCGTAGCATTTTTTTTTGACGAAAACCCTGAGAAGCCCTGTACCAAAACCTAGAAAGCTCAAAAACCCCACATCAAGCCGTAAACCCCCAAACCCGAGACCATGGCTAACATTTGTTTGAGCCTTGTTCAGTTAAAGGGCTTCATGGCTTCTAGGGGGTTGCTACAAGGGTCCTTCTATAAGGGGCATATACAGTAGGTCTTGTAAAAGGGTTCTTGCGAAGGTCCTCTATTGGGTTTGTAAGGCTTGAAGAGCTTGTGACAAGGGTTCTCTGTGGTGGGGCTTTGGGGGCTGTACAAGGTTTAGGGCCAAGCCTTAGGTACAGGGCTTTAGGGTGGTGTTGGGCCAGTGCTTCTATAGAAGCACTGGCCCTATACCGTGCAATCACCCTAAACTCTAAACCGCATGAAGATCACCTTTGGGCTGTAGGGCCTCAGGGCTCAACGTTTTAGGGTTTAGGGTTTGGGGGGGCACCGGGTGCGCTCCGGAAGGACAGAACAAGCTCGTCTAGGATTTCCCCTTGCCATCTTCGAGCATGTCCAGGTCCTCCTGTACAGGGATGTACGGCTTGTGGATTTGGGGTTCAAGGTTTCGGAGGGTAGGATTGAAGGTTATGGTTCAGGATTTAAGGCTTCGGGTTTGGGGTTCTTGGCCTCTGGGATCAGGGCTGAGGGCTTCTACCCCTCCGTTGTCACGCCCGAGATGGCATAATCTAGGCCTCCTTTACGGACAAGGGGTTTCCCAGAGACTCTAATATGCCTTAGTTTAAGCATATTCCTTAAATCATAGTAGGATCCTTTATATGATTTAAGGACTATTCCTCAATTAAGGGATATTGGAGTCTTTGGGTTCCTCATCACAGATCTAGAATGCTCACGGCCGAAGACCTGTTCCCGGTCTTAACCCGTGCAACATTGCGAGGGAGCTTCAGACACTAAGCGAGCCTAACAGAAGTAGTACGATCCAAGCATCATCCGGACACTCATTTAATTACGTGAGAAACCGCTACGGAACATGCGCTAAATCAAAGAGGGGGATGGTAGCCTAAACCCTAAACAAACGCTTATAATGCCCTGCAGAACCTATACAGGAACCTTACAACACACTCCTCTCTCTTCTACTCAGAACCCGTTCCAGAACCCGAAACAACTTCTTGAAGAGCTCCCATAGAAGCCGTGCAGGACACTTTGAGGAATAGTTTCTAGACCCCAGGAGAAATCGCCTGAACTTATACCACCCCGGAAGGGACATTGACCCCCTCAATAACGTCCCTTTTTACGATCAGGGTCAAGAAGGATCCCCTTGAGGGGGTCTCCCTAACACTACCTAGGAAGAAGGAACGCCTAAAAGCCTAAACCCTAAACCCTAAACCCCTAAACCCCTAAACCCCTAAACCCCTAACCCGATGCCTGGCTGGCGGAGAGCGTCCCCCGTGGCCGGCCACTTGGCAGAGCTTTGCCCTTGCGGCTGCCACCCGCACCAGCGATCCTCGTCAAAGAGAGCTTACTTGAAGGCTATAGGCTTTAGGTGTCGGGCTTTAGGCTGTAGTTGTCGGGTGTCGAGCTGTAGGCTTTAGGGTTTGAGGTTTAGTGCTCAGGCCAGGGGAGTTAGCAAGTAAGTTCTGCGTAGTGTTATAAGTCCTCTAGCTGGGGTTACTGTGCCTATAACCCTACTTGTAACCCAGTTACTACATCCCCTGATCCTTCACGTAAGGTTTATGGCTGAGGGTTTGGGGATCCTCGTCAAAGAAGGCTCAGGGCTCCTTCTTGTCAAGCGCTCTGTTCAGGGTTCTACAACTTAGAGGATCACAGGACTTAGTAACTAGGGTTATAAGTAAGGTAGCTAAACTTATAACCCCAATTCAGGTACTTATAACCTCACTTACTAAGTCCCATGATCCTTTAAGAAAGCTCTTATGGTTTCAGTGTTGCGAGTTTAAGGTTCCTTGAAGGGCTGTTTCAGGGGTTCTAAAGAGGCACTATATTTCTACGCGCAAGGATTGGGGGTGTAGGTTAGAAGGGGCCCCCCCACCCTGTAATAGTGACCATAAGGATTATATAGGATTATATTAGGGCCCTACTATATTCCTATTATACCACTATTACAGGGTGGGGGGCAGCTTCTAAGGTGTAGGGCTTTGAAGCATGGAGCTCCTCGGGGTCCGGCGGTTTTGCGAGCTTGGGGTTTAGGGATTTACTTGGAGGATCATGGGACTTAGTAAGTAAGGTTATAAGTACCCTAATTGGGGTTACAAGTATAGTTACCTTAATTATAACCCTACTTACTAAGTCCCATGACCCTTTAAGTAAAGTTGAGGGTAGCGGTATGTACATGCATCATCTCCAAGCGGCCTGGCCGGTGTCTTGAAGCCAGTGGACTCAGCCTGGGCAGAAAGCTGCAGACTTCGTCGGCATGCGGATAATCAACCCCAAACCGATATAGCTTGGGGCTTAAGGTGTGCGTTCGGGGTTACAGACTTAGGATTATCAGCTTGAGGGCTTAACAGCCTGATGGTCAGGCTTTCGCGGGTGCAAACAAAGGATAAATATCAGCAGTATGGGAGCTTTAGGGTCAGGATTGAGGGGTTCATGGGTTCAGGGTTTGGGATTTTTCGGACTTCTGTGCTTTATAAGTTTGGGCTTCAGGGCTCAAGGAGGGGGTGTCATCCGAACACATCTGATTCTGTTATAGACTATACTATACTAGACTAGACAAACTACACTAAGTACTGCACTGTAGCGTACTATAGTTTACTAGACTTTACCATACTATACTACACTGTACTAAACTATACTACATAATGTGCTATAATATACTATAATGTACGATAATTTACTTTGATATACTATACTGTAACATAATACAGCAAGTATACAATGATGTACAATCGTGTAATTACAATACCATACAATAACATACAGATACAATGATATACATAATATACAATAACAAAGGATGGCATACTGCAGTATACTATGATATACCAACATATATAAGTTCATCGAAATGCCCTTCGACCTTGACCTCAGAACCGTCAACCCTCGACCCCTAAACCCCTGAAACCCAGACCCAAATCCTAGACCCCACAATCCTAAGGACCGTTTGAGAACACCTTAGAATTATAGAAGCCTCAAGAAAACCGGAAAGGCCCAAAACCCAAAATGGAAGCATAGAGGCTTTATGCGGAACCCTAAACAGACCCCAAGACCCAACATGGAAGCATAGAAGCTTTGAAAGGAACCCTAAAAAGACCCCAAGACACAAAATGGAAGCAGCGAAGCCCCAAAGGAACCCTGAAAAGACCCGAAATCGAAGCATCGAAGCCCCAAAGAAACCCTAAAAGGAACCCTAACAGGAACCCGAAAGGGAACCTCAAACCCCGAGCTCGCCCCCGCGGCCTTCGGGGTGGAAAGCGCGCGTTCGAAGGCAGCCTGGGCCTTCTTGCGCGTATCCTGCGGAGCGCTTTCGGGTTCTTGAAAAGGGGTTCAGTTGGTTTAGGGTTTGGGGTTTAGGGTTTAGAGTTTAGGGTTTAGGGGGTTTTGAGTTTTGGGTTCCTTAAGGGCCCTTGCCAAGGGCGTTATCGAGGCTCTTTGTGGGATTTTGGAGGCAGTTTAGGGTCCAGTTTGTGGTTCAGGGTTTGGGGTTCCTTTGAGGGGGATCTATAAGAAATGGGGGCTAGATACATATGAAAGAAGGGTTCAGGGTTTGGGGTATGCTGCGGATACATACGGTTGATGATATAAATGAGGCATTACCTTAATGACCCTAGACTATCGGAATTATGGTATTTTCCGTTTTATGGGTAATGCAGGATTTATAGAAGGATTTATTGGGGTTTAGGGTTTAGGGTTCAAGACTTTTGTTTAGCGGTTTACGTTTGAAGGTTTCGGGTTTAGGGTTTCGTGCTGTGGGGTTAAGGGTTTAGGACTGAAGGTTTAGAATCTAAAGGCAACAGGGTCTACTGACTCCAGAATCCCTGTATACCTCAACTCACATTAAGGAGGATCCCTCCATGGTTGAATGCCCTGTAGCCTGTAAGTATATGGGCAATGCTTTAAACTAGTGTCGTGTTTGGTGTTCTTTTTATACGGGTGCCGACTGACCCAGAAAGGGACCCTAATCTAGAAAACTACCCATACTACTTAGATAGAGAGCCTGGGATCTACTTTTGGATTGGCTTTAGGATCACTGGAGCAGTCCGTCTAACCCTCAACCCTCAACCGAAAATACCCGAAACACCAAACCTGAAACCCCAAACCGTCCACTTTGACTCCTTCGATGCCGTACACCCTCATGAGTTTGGGAGCCTTTCGAACCCTCAGAGTGCAAGGGCTCCTTTAAGGGTTCCTTTAGGTTTTACTTTCAGGGTTCCTGTAAGGGTTTGCTGGGTTCTGAAAGGGTACTAGACGGGTGAGGGTTCAGGGTCTTGGGGTTATGCTGAACCCAGAAAGTAGAGTAAGGATGGTTTGTGCTGGCATCCCCTGTGCTCTACCTTAAGAGCATGGGAATAATGATGACTTCTTTACTGCATGGGCCTGGATATTTAGAAAAGGTTTCTTATTTGTATATACTATACGAAGAAAGAATCGCTAAGGATAATATTGGCAATTAGTTAGGCCCCTATAGTAAGGGTCCTTCAACTGTCATCCCTTTGCCTTGAACACAAGCTTCCCTAAGACTCCAACATGCCTTAACTAAGGAATATACCTTAAACTATAACAGGATGCCCAATATGATTTAAGGACTCTTCCTTAACTAAGGGATATTGACCCTGAAGCCTAAACCTAGGGGCCTTAATAATTAGACTAGAGTTTTGGGACCATACTATAAACATAATAAGGAACCCCCAAATAGTATGTGTAGGCCCCTATATTAAACCGTCGGAGTGTCTGGGCTGAGGGTCTAGGAGAAAAGGCGAATGAGGGACACCGTCGGGTTCAGGGTTTAGGGATTGAGGGTTTATAGCGTTTAAGGCTGAGGATCTAAAGGTTTGCGGCTTTTTAAAGCTCCAGGGATTTTGGGCTCCGCTTTTAGGGATTTTGGGGCGGGGGGGGCCCTAGACAACCTTCCAGAAATGCCCATGAGACCCGTTTTGACTCCCTCATAGGAGAGCCTCGTACAAGCCCAAGAAAAGTGTCCGAAAAGGTCCACGGAAAGCCCTACAAAAGCCACGCGAAGAAAAAATCCGGTTCCATAGTAAGGTCCCCTTTAAAGTCTTTAAAGGGACCTTTGGAGAACCCCCCCCTTACAGAACCCCTTAAAGGAACTGTTAAAGGTTACTAAAGGGTTCTATAATCGGGTCCCCTTTGAAAGAACCCGGGCTTCCCCTCCTCCACCATCTTCTTCGTGGCCGACTCTGCAGAAAAGATCCCTCCCCGGAAACTCCATGAAGGGTTAGTCTAGGGTTTAGGGTTTAGGGGTTTAGGGTTTAACTCCATGAAGGGTTAGTTTAGGGTTTGGGGTTTAGGGTTTAGGGTTTAGCTCCATGAAGGGTTAGTTTAGGGTTTAGGGTTTTGGGGTTCAGGGTTTAGGGTTTGGGGTTTCGAATTTAGAACTCTAGGTTTGGGGTGTAGGGTTAAACATTGCAAATTCGAAGTTTTCGGGTCTAGGGGTTAGGTCTAAAGGGCTACGATGAAGGTTACTTTAAGGGTTGCTGGAAGGGCTGCTGCTCGGGCTACTATACAGCTTGGTATAAGACTTCGATTATGAAAGGGGTCTCGGACTCCTTTAAAGGCAGAGGCTTCCCCAAAAGGGTTCCTTTCAGAGCTCCCAGGAAGCTGTGGGTTCAGGGTTTAGGATTCAGCGTTTAGGGTGTTTTTCTTCTTTGAACTCATTTTTTCCAGGGGGCGGCAGTCTGCAGCATCCTATTTAGGGTTTAGGGTTTGGGGTCGGCTCAGGTTCGAGATCAAAGGCTTCGGGACTTTCAAGAAGTGGGGCCCGCTGCAGGCTTTAGGGTGCAGGGGGGGTTTACTTGGAGGATCATGGCACTTAAGTATAGTTACCTTACTTGTAACCCTAGTTACTAAGTCCCATGATCCTTCAAGTAGGCTTTAAGCTCTAGGGTGGGGGCGGCGCTCAAGGACTGCACTGGGAACTGATAACTACAGCGAACCCCGGAAAGTTGGAACGTGGATTTGGGATGATAAGTGCCAGAACCCCTTTTACTTTACCTTAAGGCTAACAGGATAATGACGTTCCAACTTTCTGGCTTCTACTTTAGAGTTCAAGTGCGAGCCCTGATCCGTAGCCACAAAATGCATGTCCAAGGCTTTGTGCTTGGGCTTCCTTGAAGCATGGTAAAAGCCAGAAAGTTGGAACATTGGTATCCTCACGCCCCTAATGTAAAGTATAAGTTAGCACTAATCCTCCTAAACCCATGTTCCAGCTTTCTGGCTTCTCCGGTAACATAGTTTAGGGTCATTAAGGTAATGCAGGATTTATATCATCAACCGCAGGACGGCTACAACCAGAACCAGAGTGCCATTGCTTCGGATAGGCACCGGGCCTTGTAAGGATTAGGATTTAAGGTTTAGGGTCTAGGGTTAAGGTTTCGGGCTTCAAGGGTCTAGGGTCGGTTTAGGGTCTAGGGTTTAGGGTATAGTCGGTGTAGTATTTAAGAGCCGATGGCAAGGTCCCTTACTTTCTCTCAGATTCGGTTCACTGCCCCCGGCCTTCGCGCACCAGCGAGGTTCCCTCCTCACGCTCCGAAACGACGATGCCGCCCTCTACAAAGACCTTCTGCTTCCTTTCAAAGAGCAAGGGATTTGGCTCAAAAGTTCTTGGGGTTGGTGGCGAGATGTGGGGAATCCTAACAACCCGAAGTCCGATCTTCGAACCCGTACTATATGGTAACCCTGAAAAGCATATAGCCATGACGATTTCCATGGCTTCGAGATTAGCATCCTGTGGCAGCATGAAGGCGGCGATGATGACGATGGTAATAATGGGAGTTTCCGAAAATTAGGGGGTACCTAATTCTGGGGTCCTTATTGTAAGGATCCTACTATTCAGGGTACAATATCATCATCATGATGATGATGCTAAACCCCAACCCAAAACCTCAAACCCCTGACCCTGAACCCTAAACCCCAAACCCCTGAACCCTCAACCCCTAAACCCCAAACCCTTGACCCTGGTAAACCCCATCCCAAAACCACAAACCTCAAACCCCTGACCCTAAACCATAAACCCCTAAACCCTAAACCTTAAACCCCAAACCCCTAAACCTTCAACCCTAAACCCCATAGATCCCTAAAAGGAGCCCTTTAAAGGAACCCTTATAGATCCCTTTAAAGGAACCCCTAAAACCCCCAAGAAAAGCCTGCGAAGCTTAGCATCCGAGGCTCTTAGCTTTCGTGGTCCTAAAGTTGAGCCTCCCTCGCCAGAAAGCCGTGCCACCAGGGACCTCGGGTTGAGGAATTAGGGTTTAAGGTTTAGGGGTTTAGGGTTTAGGGTTTAGGGGTTTAGGGTTTAGGGTTAGGGGTTTAGGGTTTAGGGTTTAGGGGTTTAGGGTTTAAGGTTTAGGGGTTTAGGGTTTAAGGTTTAGGGGTTTAGGGTTTAGGGTTTAGGGGTTTAGGGTTTAGGGTTTAGGGGTTTAGGGTTTAAGGTTTAGGGGTTTAGGGTTTAGGGTTTAGGAATGGCACCCTACTTAGAGGATCATGGGACTTAGTAACTAGGGTTATAGGTAAGGTAACTATACTTATAACGCCCACTTAAGGTACTTATAACCGTACCTACTAAGTCCCATGATCCTTGAAGTTGAAGAATTAGGGGTTAAGGCTTCGGCTCTAGGGTTTAGGTTTAGGCTTGAGGTTTCAGGGTGTGGGGTTTGGGGTTTGGGGTTTAGGGTTTGGGCTTTGGGGTTTAGGGTTTGGGGTTTGGGGTTTAGGGTTTTGTAGGCACTTTTTGGATTTAGGTTTAGGGCTTTCAAGACAAACTACAGGGATTAAGGCACCATGGTAGTTTCAAAGGCAGGTTCAGGATTCGGGCTCCTCACACAGAAAAGAAAAAATGGCACCCTACTTAGAGGATCATGGGACTTAGTAGCTATGTTTGTAAGTAAGGTAACTATACTTATAACCCCAATTAAGGTACTTATGACCGTACCTACTAAGTCCCATGATCCTTGAAGTAGCGTTGACCAAGAGTCCGTGAAAGCCTCTTTGTACAGGTCTGTCAGGGGCTGCGTAAACTCCTGGGCTGGCAGAGCCACAGGAGGCCAACGCCCCTTACTTAAAGAAGGGTTTAGGGTTGAACCCTGCGCAATTTGAGCAGCTTTCATTTCAAACCAACTAAGCCGGACCGGGCGCTCTGGATTAGAATGATGATAGGATTGGGGGTTGCGGGTTTAGGCTTCAGGGTTGAGGGTTCCGGCAGGGTTTAGGGGCCGCGAGGGAAGAGCAAGAAAAGAACCTAGAACAGCAGCAGCAACAGCATCAACGATGCAAGTGAAAGCAGGAATATGGAAAAACAGTAGCAAGCTTGATGGGTCCCTGTGTACGGCTTCATTGTAAGGGGCAGCGGGCCTGAATTAACCAAACAGAATGGGGTGCCGGGGGGTATATAAGAAAACTACAGAGAAAACTACCTGAACCGCCCCTGTTATGTAAAGGGCTTGTGAAGTGCTGTCTTGTGCCTCACTGATCGCCACCGAAACCGTCCAACCCCTCCAATAGCAACACAAACCCCAAAAAATCCAGTGAAAAACTCACTGCAGAACACCGGCCTCGCTGCGAAAACGCCGAAAGAAACACAACTTTGAAGGGATATGCCACACAAGCGCACACACATGCACAGCAGTCGCCACCACAAGCGCTCAACCGTGAAAGCAGAGAAACCATTTACCCTAGCTCCCGAAAATTTCGAATCACCCCGAAAACGCTTCAAGTGGACGGAAAAACTATAGAACCATTCACAGAACCCTAAGCTTCCTACACCCAATTAGGGTTTAGGGTTTAGGGCCAACATGCAAAACACAGGCTATGAACAGGTCCAAAGCCTTCTTCAACCCGTGTCTCTAAACCCCAAACCCAAAAACCCCAGAAGGATCCAAGGCGTAGATCCCTTAATGGGGGTTCCTATAAAGGACCCTTCGTAGTCCCAAATTAGGAGATCTACTTTCTAGGCCCTAAACCCTGAACCCCTAAACCCCTGAACCCCTAAACCCCTAAACCCCTATATCCTAAACCCTAAACCCTTAGATCCCTTTACCCTAAACCCTTTACCCTAAACCCTAAACCCTTAGATCCCTTTAAAGCATCCCCCAAAGGGGTTTGGGAAAACGGGGCCGGAGCTCTATGAACAGGTCGTTGGGATCTTCCCCCTCGTTGGGGTCTCCCTCGATGACGCACCTGCAGAGTCGTTTTGAACGCCTTTCTGGAGTTTTAGGGTTCAGGGTTGAGGGTTCAGGCTTCAGGGTTGAGGGTTTAGGGTTTAGGGTTTCGGGTTCAGGGTATACGGCTTTTGGTTTTTGATACTTACAGGATCATGGGACTTAGTAAGTAAGGTTATAAGTACCTTAATTGGGGTTATGTATAAGCATAGTTGCCTTACTTGTAACCCTAGTTACTGAGTCTAAGTGCAGATTCGTTTTGAACGCCTTTCTGGGGTTCAGGGTGTACGGCTTTTGGGTTTGGCGCGTAGGGGTTTGGGGCTTAGGGCTTAGGGTTTGGGGTTCAGGGAATTTCAAGGATTCGTTCTTCGACTTTATGTGGTTTTGTACGGTTCCTGAAGTTTCGCGAAATTTCTGCAAAGCCTGGAGAAGCTGCATCGATGGAGAAACCCCGAAACCTACGGCTATCCCTCAAACCCCCCTCTCGGATCTTGAACCCCGTGAGGGTTCCTTCAAGGGTTCCTTTAGGAGTTCCCACCTGGAATAGGGGACCCTGACATAGTACCCCAAATAGTAGGATCCTTACTATCAGGACCCCAAACTAAGGTACCTCTCATTTTCGGAAACCCTCAGGGGAACCCTAAAGGGCCAAGAGGCCCCAACGTTCTCCTGAAACCCGCGCACTTCCCAGACCTTCCCTACCTTCCAGACCATTTAACTAAGGAACATATTTTTTGGGGGCTCTTTAAAGGGATCTATAAGGGTTTCTATAAGGGTAGTATACGAATTAGGGATTATACCTGCAGATCCTGTTAGGATCACAAACGTGAGCTAATGTATGCTTCTTAGCTAAGGGGTTTTGGAAACCCTAAACCCTAAACCCTAAACCCTAAACCCTAAACCCCAAACCCTAAACCCCAAACCCTAAACCCCAAACCCTAAACCCTAAATCCTAAACCCCAAGGTCTGGGCTATGCAGCAATGCTTCTCGTAGTTTCAGGGCTTGGGGCTCATGCTTGGGGGCACCTAAACCCCAAGCCCGAAGCCCTAAACTCTATGGAACCCATATTATAGCAACAAAAGAGCCACTTTAAAGGAAACCCTTGTAGAACCCTTATAGCAACAAAAGAGCCACTTTAAAGGAAACCCTTGTAGAACCCTTATAGCAACAAAAGAGCCACTTTAAAGGAAACCCTTATAGAACCCTTATAGCAACAAAAAAGCCATTTTCCAGGGAAACCCTCAAAAGAACCTTCAAATCCTGAGTGGTTACCACCTATTCTTCTCTCCTTGGCAAGGCGTTTATCGCTGGCAAGGCGTTTATCGCTTTTTCTGGTTTAGGGTTTAGGGTTACTTTTTCGCTTCTGCCAAGCCGCCAGGCTCCTAGCTCTTTCGCCACCATGCCACCAAAGAAGAGGATGGTACCGTCGTCATTCCTTGGAATGGTTTTGGGTTTAGGGTTATACGACTATAGGATATTATAGGGTTTAAAGCAAACGAAACCTTATCCAGGCTGGTGGGTGCTGTAAAGATTTGCAACGGTTTGTGGGGCTCAGGCGCACCAAGCATAACAAAGGAGTTCAAGCATCTACTCGAAGCAATCCGATGTTGCCCATGAGCAGTAGCGGTGATGTGCTAGCACTGCAACTGATGTGCAAGACGATATGAACCCCAAACCCCCAAATAAAGCCTAGACCCTAAATAACCCCTATCCCTACGCCCTAAACTCCAGAACCCAACACCCTGACCCCTAACTCGTGGCGTTGGTTCTCAAGCACCTCCGCTCCTCTCAGTCACTACTTGGCTGCCCGAGCCGGACCCACGAGCAAGGCCGAAGCTTTCCCCAAAACCTGAAAAGGCCCACCTCTGAACCCTGAACAGGAAACGCCGAAAACCCTGTATAAAGACCTGATACCTAAAGGATCATGGGACTAAGTAAATAAGGCTATAAGTACCTTAATTGCGGTTATATTTATCTTACTTACAACCCTAGTTACAAAGTCCCATGATCCTCTAAGTAATCTTTCGGAGGGGCCTGAGCAAGACCCCCCAAAAGGGACTCGGCAGCAGAACATGAAGAGCGTGCGGAAGAAGGCAAGACGGTGGCTTAAGGTTCTGGTTCCGGGTTCAGAGGTTCGGGATTAAGGGTTCATGGCTTCAGGGTTTGTGGGATTTAGGAATTCAGGACGCTATCCTCATGTCCACAGCAGGAATATGAAGGCTGACTGTCTCGCAAGAGAGGGCTGGCTCCAACACTAAACTCTAAACTTCAATCAGGAAACTTCCTAGGCTCGTCATCCTAAAGCCCACGAGAGGACACACCCAGAAAAAGCTAGATATCATAATTACAATCATGCTACTGATGAGGAGAAGAAGAACAATCATACTATTGCTACGTAGTGATGTTAAGCTGAACCCTTAAGCCCTGAACCCGAAGTCTCAACCCCAAGCTGGATGCCCTAAAACCCTGAAGCCTACAGCCTAAGCCCCAAACACTCAACCCTAAAACCCACCAAAACCAAGAGACCCCAAAACCCTTGATGACGGAATACAGCTTAAATCATCATATGAGGTCCTATATTCCCTAATTCGGTGGTTTTTTGGGGCTACCTGGGAAGAAAAGAAGATTGCTCTGCAAGCTCAGATTCAAAGTCACGAGGCTCTCATAATCTGGAAACCCGAACCTCCGGAGCGCTCCGTGGGCTTCGGAGTTTGGTTTTTTTTGAAAGCGGAATTAGGTTTAGGAGTCGGGTTTGGAAGTTAGGGTTTAAGGATTAGGGTTTGGAGTTTAGGGCTTAGGGTTTAGGGTTTGGAGTTTCGGGCTTAGGGTTTTAGGGTTTAGGGTTTAGGGTTTCGGTGCGCCTTGGGTGTAAAGGGCTTAGGTGCTTCGGCTTTGGGGGCTTCGGATATAGGGTTCAGGGTCTTGGGTGTAAGGTTTGGGTGTAGGGCTTTAGAGTTTAGGGCTTAGGGTTTAGGGGGCTCCGGGTTTAAGAGTTGGGTTTGGCGTTTAAGTGTCTTGGGTGAAGGCTTGAAGTTTCGCGCTTTGGGCTTGGGGAGTTGGAGTTGGAGACCGACCGAAGGGCGTACGGCCCTGGGGTCTGCGGGAGTTCAAGACAAAGGTGAGGACAACATCCATAGGGCTGGGCTTAGGGTGTTTAGGGTTATAGGGTTAGGGAGTTGGGAGTTTAGGATTTTAGGGTTTAGGAAGGCGAAGAGTGCACAATGCAGACGAGGCTTAATGGAGCGATCGCTGCAACGCATGGAACCCTGAACCACCCACCAAGATCTGACGGTGAAGCCCCACTGCAGACCGGCTCGATGGCTTCAATCAATCTCGCATGCAGTCGCATGGTCGTTGCCCCCCTCCAGGCTCTCAGATGCTGAAACCCTGAACCCCGAACCGAAACCGCTACTCCTACCACGACGACGACCTACTGCTACTGCTACAACTGCTCTGCTACTGGTGCTACCACTACTACCACTACCACTACCACTACCACTACCACTACCACTACCACTACCACTACCACTACCACTACCACTACCACTACCACTAGTACTAGTACTAGTACTAGTACTACTACTACTACTACTACTACTACTACTACTACTACTACTACTACTACTACTACTACTACAAGTAGGTAAAACCTCACCACAGAAGCCGGAAGGTTCAGGAGAGCTCAGGGTTCAAGGCCTGGGGTTCAAGGCTTCAGGGTTTGGGGTTTGGGGTTTAGGGTTTGGGGTTTAGGGTTTAGGATTTAGGGTTTAGGGGTTTAGGGGTTTAGGGTTTAGGGTTCAGGGTTTAGGGTTTAGGGTTTAGGGAACCCAGAAACTCCGATGTCCCTTAGTTAATGAACAGTCCTTAAATCATCTTAGGGATCCCCTCACAATTTAAGAGATATTCCTTAAATAAGGCATATTGGAGCCTAAACCCTAGACCCCTAAACCCTAAATCCTCAACCCTATTTTTGAGACTTAGGACCAAAAGTAATGCAGATGAGTATCACAGAGCTGGTCAGCTTCAGCGTAGTGTTGCACAACTGCATTTCGGTTCTATCAACAACACCTCGGCCATTAGCAATTCAGGGTTTAGGCATGGGTTTTCGGTTTAGGGTGCAGGGTCTATATAGATTTTTTTAGGACTGAAGATTTACAGTTTGTTCTTGTTTTTAAGACGGCCTTCTTGAAACCTTCCTGGAACGGAGAAAAAACTGAAAGCCTCGCACACTCGCAACCCCATATCCTAACCCAGAAACACTAGACACACCCCTTCTTATCCTTGTTTGTGCTCCTTGTCCTTACTTGCGGGAGAATGATACCCATGAAATCCTCACAGACACGTGAGATGTGCGGCCATAGAACCCTGATTTAGAAACAAACTGTAAAATCCTCATAGAAGCCCTTGCAAACAAAAAACACAGGAACTTGAAAGAACTATGGTGAGTATGCATAAAACTTTCAGTGTTTGCTATGCTCAAGTGTTCAAGGCTTGAACCACAAGACACTGCAACCTAGACCCTGACCCGATGGATCCGGAATCACAAATCCGACTACCTCACATTTAGGGTTTAGGGTTTAGGGTTTAGGCCCTTGAGGCCAGTAGGCGAAAAGCAGGGTTACAAAGTCCAGCAACCCCAATGGGGTGGACTCCCAACCCCTACTAAGTCCCATGATCCCCTCTGCAAAACCCACAAAAATATTCAAACCGTAGCAACTCCTCATAGAACCCTTCCGAAACGCCGATGAAATCCTAAGTGTTATACTTTGGCTTCAGGGTTTACCTGAACCCCTAGTAACCTTTCTCTTTGGGGACCTATACAAGGAAATCATACTAAGGAAGAGGTCGTGGGGTCCAGTTTAGAAGGTTTTTCAGGGTTTGGGGTTCAGGGTTTAGGGTTTAGGGTTTAGGGTTCAGGGTTTAGGGTTCAGGGTTCAGGGTTTAGGGTTTAGGGTTCAGGGTTTAGGATCCAGGATTCGGGTTTCGGAAAGGAAGTTTTCGAGGCCTTGAGGCATTGGAGGCCTAAAAAGAACCCCCTGAAGGAATCTTAGAGGAACCCTTGAAGGACCCGTAATGGTGCTATAAAGTCCTAAACTAAGGTTCTCTTTCGGGGTACTATGAGATTCTAGACAGGACCCTCAACCAAAGAATCGGATCCTTCTTTAAGGCCCCAAAAAAGATAGGGATGTCCCATCTAGACCTCCTTACAATGAAGCCGAATAAGGTAGGGATATCCCTAGAAAATGCTTATGCTTATGTGCTTCTTGGCTCCCTCATTCGTTAAATCCAAGGGTAAAAGGAGGGACCCTTAATAAGGACCCCTAGGTATATACCCTTAATACAGCCATTATATACCCATTATATGGTCCATTATAGGGTAGGGGTCCCCATTAAGGGTCCCTCCTTTTCCCCTTTGATTAAAGATGTAAGATGCGCGGCTGTTCATATCGAACTCCGGCATGGTGGCACGCTGTGCCTCAGAGGCTGCTGAAAGGTATAGATGGGCGTTTCCGAAAATTGGGGGGGGGTACCTTTAAAGGGATCTATAAGGGTTCCTTTACAGGGTTCCTATAAGGGATCTATAGGGTTTACGTAAGTTAGGGGTACCTTTTTTGGGGTCCCTATTATAAGAATCTTGCTAATTAGGGTACTATCTTAGGGTCCCCTACTTTCGGAAACTCCCAGATCCCAAACCCTGAACCCCAAACCCCGAACCGGTTTCGGGAGTGTTACGGTTGATGATATAAACCATGCATGAGCCATAATATGAATATGCCATAATTCCCATAGTTTAGGGTCATTAAAGTGATGCAAGATTTATAGCATCAACCGTAGCATCAGAATTTAGCCCTGAAATTTCCTGATCGAGCCCAGGGATTCGAGTTCACGCCTGCGTAAACAACCCTGCAGCCCCATCATTGTTCCTCAAAATATGTCCATTAAACTTTCTTGCCGGGTTCCTTTTCGGGTTCCACTAGGGTCCCTTTAAGGATTCCTTTCACAGTGCTTTTTTGGGGGGTTTCTTGAACTTCGACAAGGGTTCCTCATAGGGTTCCATGAAGGTTCCCTTGAGAGGAGTCGGCACCTCTTTCGCGAGACTTTGCCGTCTACCTCAAACCCTTAAACCCTCTTTGCCTTCTTGTCAAGCTCGACATCATGAGGGTTACTATCACTGTTGCTAAAAAGTGTGGGGATATGTCCTGGTGGCAGACATGGCTTGTCAGGGTCTACATAGGGTTAGGGGTTGGGGGTTTCGGGTTAGGGCTTGGGCTTGGGGTTCTGGGTCCAGGTAAACGGATGTTGGAAAACCGATAATGAACCTACACTCATGAGAACCCTCACAGTACCTCTCATAAACGTACACCGAAGTATAGCAAGTATTACAACCCTCATAGCTTCAATGCAGCAAAGCTGCCGGGCGCGGGAGCCGGGCCTGCGGCGACAGGCCCACGAAGCAGCGCGGAGCGAGGACCTGTCAGCTTTTCGGTTCGTGGAGCTTTGGGACTCATGTAGGGTTTAGGGTTCAGGGTTCAGGGCTTAGGGTTCAGGGTTCAGGGCTTAGGGTTTGAGGTTCAGGGCTTAGGGTTTAAGGTTCAGGGCTTAGGGTTCAAGGTTCAGGGCTGGCGTTTAGCGTTCCAGGAACAGGACTTACCGGCCCTTTTGCAGGGGGCTCTGGAGCTCTACGGTCAAAAGGCTTGGGGTTCTACGGTTGATGATATCAACCCTGCATTACCTTAATTGAATTGTTGTATATGCCGGGTGTGGGCATTGAGCCGTCTGGGCTCATTGCAAGTTAACTACGTGCCACAACAAAGTCCAGGCTTTAAGCAACCTGAGAATATCTTCAAGGGAGGTGTGCTGACTTGACCAAGCACCTCAAACGATAAACACTACTGGTTCTCGTGGTTGAGGCGACCCGGTCATGACGACGGTGAGGATTGTCATGAAGCACGACACATATGTAAATATGATTGGTCGAATAACAATACAAACCATAAGGACCATGACCAGATTAATACAAGATTATTTCGCGAGCATCAATACCCCAATCGCCACTCTCAACGTCATGATCGATATCATCATCACTGCTACCATCACCCATAACTCACTACCGTGACTCGCAGAACTGCTTTTTGCCTCATGATACTCGTAAACAGTACCACCACCACCACCACCACCACCACCACCACCACCACCACCACCACCGTCACGGCCACCACCTTCCTAATTACCATCATCGTCATCTTGGTCATCATCATCATCACGATGAACCCCATCGAGCCTAGACAATGTTTACACACCTCGAAAGGTGCGGGTTTTGGGCTTAGACATGCATTAAGGGCCGTGTGCACACTGAAGTCGGATCTCGATGTTGCAATCCAAGGCACTAGTAAAGAGACTGCAATGACAAGTTGTGCAAAACCAGTCATTGGCCGGTGGGGTCTAGGGACTCCCCCAGCAGAGGCCATGGCGTGATCTCTGCGTTCTCGAAACGTCGAAAATCGGGCCCGAAGGCAAAAAATCGTCCGAGGCCAAAACTGCGGAGTCAGCACGGTTGAGGGTCAGAGCACATGGGTCACAACGAAAAGACTGGCATTCATGATGTGGCGTACACTCGCACTGCGCAGCTGCATGACTGAAATAAACTATTTTCCCCATCCCTTTCCTTAGACCCAAGACCCTGGCTTCTGATCAAAAGGCTAACCCTGAACGTTGTGCCTCTTCACAACCCAAATTTCACACAACCACACGATGCAAACGACCCTTCAGTCCAGGCAAACTGTCTTCCAGCAATCGTTCAATTGCAAGACACATGTCGTGTGCCATGCAACGAAAAACTGTGCTGAAGCTTGAGACCTGAGTACATCTGAAGATGTCATAACGTCGAATACAAGCTGACCATCAATCCAAAAGTTCCATGCCTTGTCCGTCGTCAGTTCCCGCCAATCTGGGGGCTTCGGGTTTCTGGGATTTACAAGCTCGACAAGCCTGGACAATCCTGGACACACTCGCTGTCGGAGACTTCCTCCGATAGGCTATCAAAACTTTCGTAACTTTCGATGCAGCTTGAACTGCGTTTCACATGTCGAGCCGGTTCCGAAATCCAAGAAGGACGAAGCTTCCTTCACCTTTCTGCCCGATTTGCCAACGAGCCAAAAATGTAACCTTGACCAGAAAGTCAGGCGGATCATCAACTATCCACAGCAAAGTTGTCACTGCTGATGCCAAGGATTCAAGGTTTCAGGAAAAGGCCGTTGCTCACGTGGTAAACGACGTGTACTCTAAGTTCAGCTACATCCTTCCAGACTAAGTCTGGTGAGCAAAACTACGAAGACATATTGCATCTCCTTGGTGTCGATGATGAAAAATCAAGGTCATCTACTTTGATAATGCTCATTGGAGCTATGCCGCACAGGCAGCTGCGATCTCGTCACAACACGTCTAGGGAGTATGTGAGCGAGAACAAAGCAGTTCTAAGCGCGAGATCCTTGAAGTGGCTCGGGCCAACTTGATGCGATCAGGTTTTTTGCAGCCGTGCGTTTTGTCGCAACTTTTGATTCTGTACTCTCCAGTTTTCACCTCAACAGAGCATCGTTCTCAGATCGTTCTACTTTTGAGTCGCTTCTGAAGGCTTTCTTTTTTGATTGAAAGGAGATTTCTGGCTCAAAATTCCCCAAACTTTCCTTGTGGTGGTGGACTTTGGCCCGGTTTGAACATTTAAAAGGATAAGCATCTTCGGTGACATTGGTGTTCCTTCTGTGCAGCCGAAGCACCAGCCTCCGGCAAGTCCACGTCGATGACACTCGAAACAAAATTTCCGACCCTTCTTCCATGTGTGACATCTTGTCTCAAGAATGGAAAGCAAGTCAGTCGGACACGGATTCAGTCGCTGGCCCGTGTCTTCCCCAAATGTAGACAAGCTACCATCTTCCGGTCTCCGATTTGAGACGAAGTAATTGAGAAGTGCATCTGCTGCAGCGTGCGGACTTCCGCGGCTTAGTACAGCGCACAATCGCACACAATGGAGAGGTCATACTGATGTCCGCGCATCCAACCTGATGGCCTTCCTGTCCTTGGCTTGCCACTTGTTTTTGGACTTTTGGACTTTGATGTGCACGACTTGCTCAGAGTCGCTGAGCGAGGCTCCACTTTGCTGAACAGCTTATGACGAACATGGATACCACCTAGCCGTGAGTGGAAGAGCTTCCGGAGCATCGCCGGAACTTTTTTTTGGCGTGGGCGGGCCTGAAATCCAGTAAGAAACTACAATAATGTCAATCACAAAAAGAACAAAACAGGGTGAGACGGGCCGCAACTAGCAGACTTAGCCGGCAGACGTCGTTTGGCAAGACATGCCCGGCACCTAGCAACTACCACCGCTCAGATGCCCCGCTTCTCAGATGAACTGAGTCGCGCAATGGCACACGTATTGCCCAACATCCATAAAAGGTCGAACAATACAACACACCCATCCCGGCCGCTTTTTTCATTTCGCCCAGCTTCTCCAAGGAGGGCCTTGCAAGGAGAGGCTCTTGGTGTGAAAGGATGCGTCCAAGCACCCATACAAAGCGAAGAGCATGTCGCAGTGGCAAGTGCATCAGCACCTAGAATTCAAGCCCAGCTTTCCACCAGTGTGGACCTTGCTTGCAAGGGCAGATACTCTGATCTTTGCACTAAGACAGCAGGCCAGGCACCAATGGACAGAAGCCATGCTGGGCAATTAGCAGCCTGCAGGACGCCACACCTTCCCAGCCCAGCTTCCCAAACGTGGGTCTCGCAAGGGCCGAGAAAGCAACCACCAGAAAATAGATACATGTTCGACCCAGATGTTGCTCAAAAAAGGCGCCCAAGTCCAACTTCACACCATGGTGCCTTGCAAGGGCAAGAGTGACTCTGAACTAGAAATGCCCCGGAGAGCGTAGGCGTGTTTGGAACCTGGATTTAGCCGGATTTGAACCTGGGCAACTTGGGTGAAACCTGCGTATTGGCTCTTGTGATGGGTCTGTCAGTCTGCCGCGTTATGCTACGCTGGTCTGCCTGTGTGCGGCCTCTCCGTCACATTGCATCTCTGGGTACGACAAAACCCACACGTCGGAAACTGGGGTTCTCCAGTACGACGCCTTGGTCAGGTGCGCTTGGCTCTCCTCTTATAGCTGCTTTGCATCAAGGGCAATGACGGCAACGCGCTGTTTCTCACTGCTTGCCGGGATGCTCATGCTTCTGTGCAGCTGGTTGCCGCTCTGGAGAAGGCTAACTGAGAGACGGTACATCTAGAAGGTCGACCCCAGTTGCGACCTGTTTCACCCATTAGGATCTTTCTGTACAGTTCTTCATTATCTTCTTGTTTTCATTCGCTTCTTACTGGGTCTGAGGGCGTAGTCGACGAGGCCCGCTCACACAAAAAAAAATGAGATTCCGCCACAGTCGTGTTCTGAGGATGGGCCCCACCCCCTTTGACAA